TTGGTTCAGCAACATTAATGGAAAAATCAATTGGACATTTTGACTTCTGTAGTGGATCAAAATTCATGCTTTACAATTCTTCGTAATGAACTCGTCGCTTGATAGATGCTGAAATATCCATATTACCAGCCTAATGCTTGATACCGGTTTCATTCAATGATTGATAATTCATTCTAGTGGCTTCAACAACACAAATATGATCCCATCCAAACACTGATTGATTAGTCTTATTTATTGAACGTCGTTGACTCAGATCAATTCTATCAACTGTGATGTATGTAAATTCTTTACGTACTGTTTCATTCGTTGTGGTATCAATTCATATTGCAACCAGTTTTCACTGATTAATTGCAGGTACTTTATGACGTAAACTACTCAATAGATTTGTATCTGGTCGATATAAATTATTTCTTTTAGTCATTAACGCTAATTATGTACTCGCATGACTTCGATACTATAGAGTTTTTCAAATATTCGAATGTGGTCTTGGTATTTACGTAGATTAGCCGTGCGTAAATAAACGACACATCAAAGTATATCAGTACATCGTCCTTGCTTTTCATTTTCATACGACATTAATCAATATGAGCAAGATTTTGTTCTTGACATGTAAATAAAGTTGACAGTATCTTTTGATGAATCTCTTCTGGCGATTCAGAATGATATTCAATGCGAATAAGTTGACCACGTTTTTCTAGCACTTCAATTAACGGTAATATTTCTTCTTGAAAAGTACTATAACGATTTTCAAATGTCTCAGTAGGATCATCGATGCATCAAGACAAATTTCTATATGAATTGGTCGATCCAAATTCATCAATATGTCATCAAAAATATGAAGGTGCGATCGATGCCATGGATAACCATCTAAAGTTATACCATTTTGATACATTGGATCACTTCATTTTGTTGTGAGAAATGTTGCTTTTAGCTCGTTCAAAATCAATTCACTTGCATCCATGTACGTTTTCATTTGTTTACCCAATTCACTAATAGTTGCTACTTCCGTTCGAAAGAGATCACTTCAAGAAATACACGATCAATTGAAGATCTCTGTTAAGAACTTACTTTGAGTACCTTGACCTGAAAGTGACGCTCCTATTAGTAAAACAACATCACAGCCGATAAGTTTTTGTATCTGTCCTAAAGACATATTGCCTATTGTACATAGCGGCGATTTCAACATTTGATGGTAAGTAGAAACTGATCAAGTTGTATTAATCGACTATGATCAAAATTATGAACAAAAAATAATTCAATCGACTCGAAATAAATATAAGTTAGAACGATTTCGATACGATGAAGTAATTCGAAATAATAGCAAATACCTCAGTTACAAGTGAGTTGTCCTCTGTGTAAATTGTGTATGTAACACTCAGTTGTCAATTGAGTTTAAGTAACTAATGTCTATATGTAAATGTATCGAAAATGGACATGCGCTTGCACAATGACAGCAATATATGTAGTAGCCTTGAAATGTACGAGTGTATGAATCAGTGAGAAATGCGAGAAAAAAAAAACAAAAAGTGACACATGTTAACGATTAGCATAATGATGAATAATGAATATTATGTTATTACTGTTTCCATGATATTGTAAAGCCTAAGAAAAAAAAGACGGATTTGAAATTTTGAAGTGTTCGAGAGTCTGTCCAAATGAGGATATACGTGTGCGTGAGAATAAGCTATGTCATAACCTAATATGTACCTCAATAGAGATGTTATTAAACAGATCCATTGTTGAAATTTAACCTTTACAACCTTTTTGCGCTCTGGTAGTGTAGGTACGGACAATTTGATAAACTTCAGACCTTCAAGACAATGAATTGACTTGTGTCAGAAAAAAAATTTAACTTTTGTTCAACTAGTAATATAGCGATTAATTTATTATTTATAATTTTATTAAAATAGGTTTTCGTACTTTTAAATACACTAATTATGTAACAAATACATGATTGGTGTATGGTTTTTATTATAACATTACAAAATATCATTCTAATTCAAATTAAATCCTAAACTAATCCACCACGTGTAATTTTTAAGATACAATATAACTGAGTGTATGACATCAAGAAAAACTGATCGTTTATCAAACACTGTTTTTATTTTTTGTTCAATTAAATTTCAGTTATTTCTTCTGTGAAATGATCATTGTATGCCATGTAAAGACTAAATTGAATATAAGAAAATGTTTATGTCATTAGAACGGAAGCTGCTTTTCTAATTGGTTTGAATGTCCACATATTATTTCCTCGATGAAAAACAACCATCATAATACTAAACTTTAATCACAAGAATATCAATCATTACCATAGACATCATTTGATAAACTTGTTTATATGCTACTCAAACCGTTACAATATCCATTACATGTACGTGTAAAACAATTTTTTTTTTGGTCTACGATATATCTATTATAAATCTTTAATTTTCTGAAGTTTGAGTTCTCTCTCTAAAACTAATAATGAAATAGATAGAGCAACTATGAAGTATTTTAGCTATCTCAGAATACATTTATCATATATCAAATCTTTTAGATTTTAATGAAAAAATATGAACGATTAGAATCAACAGACAACGATGTTAAAATTACTGAACAACGTTTAATATATCATACAATTAGAAAAAGGAAATGTGCAAAAATGATAGATGAGATATCTAATCAATTATCAATAGTTGTAGGAAGTAATTAGAAAGAGATATTCACACATTTGAAAAAAAAATTATCTTGTAAACTTTCTTTCTCTTATACATGCATTTCAGTATAAATTTTAGAGAGCTCAAAATTTAATAGTTTAAAGATCTTAATTAGATATAGATCTGATAAAAATTTTAGTTTTTTACGTCGAGAACAATATCAAAAAAGTATTGCTGATAATTTATTGTCAGTTATTTTATGACATTTTTAACAGTAGTTTGCAAGAAGTTCCATTAGCGGATAAAAATAACATTAACTTTAATCATTTTATCTTAGAATAGAACTTGATAGATTCTGATCGTAAGTAACAACCCAAGGTCGATAGACATTAAATGCAAAAAATCTATAATGAAAACACTGATTCATTTCCTTGGGATATAAACAAGACTTTTTTGACATTTTACTAATTTTCTACTATTTCAATGAGTTAATTACCATTTTCATATTTTACTGAAGAATATTTCAAGCCTAATGAATAAAATTAGCCGAAGATATCGATCATTTTTCGACAATTCCCATCAACTTGTATGTAAAGATGAAGAAAAACATTATCTAGCTCTTCCACATGAGCATTGATCAAGTTGTAATTAGTTTTTTTCAGTCAGAGTTCAACATGATCTCTATATATAGTCAAACTATAAGACTAAAGGATTAAAATTTAGACTATGTTTTTACCTAGTTAGTAGACTACTATATATATATATATTTTCCTATCTTCGAGACAGTTATCCTATATTTGAATATTTTTTAATAAACTAGATGACATAAAAGATAAGATCTATTGAATGAAATTAATTATTTCAAATTGTATTAATTCATTCTTTTTTTTCTTAGATGAACTGAATTCAGAATATAATTTTCTCATATAATCTAAATTTTTTTTAAAATAAACAACAATAAACAGCTGATTATCACTATGAAAAATTCTTTATTATTCGTTTAAATAATTGACGAATCATAATACATGAGCGCTATTGTCTATTGATAAGCATATTAGACTTGAGATTCTGTGGAAGTAGTTGATTATGGAAAGAATGTTTGTTAAAGTGATTCACTGTTACTATTATTATTATTATTATTATTATTACTATTATTGTCTTTTTCGACTCAATAAAATTTTCCATTGGTTTTCTTTTCCTAGTATATTTAAGCTTTTTCTTTTTTTCTCTTTTCAATTATTGATTAAGAAAACATGGTAGGTTACTATTATTGAATGAATGAAAAAAAGAAAGAAAATCAACAACCAGGTCATTATTTGAAGAGAATAAATTCAAGGTTGATTTTTTTTTTCGATTGTATTGTACATTAGTCGAGTATTTTTATGTCTGTTTTTTTTCTTTTGAGCGACACAATACAATCGTTCTTGTGTCAATTTTGTTCATTTTTTTTTTATTTTAGCATCCAAAAGAACAGAAACAAAAGTTCTATACTGAACGTTTTAAAATTTTCGTTAGAGTCAATCATTATTCAGACAGAAGAACGAACGAAACAATGAACAACATATAGAACGAGAGAAAGAGAGAATTGCACATGAAGAAAAAAAACACAAAATACATGCGCAATTTATCGTTTACTCTCGTCTGGTCATTACACTACTACTGGGCGTAACGTTTTTAATCGGACAAACTACTCATCGTTAGTTGTTTGTCGTCTTTTTTTTTTCTTGATAATTTAATGATGATTTGTCCTTGTTATATAAAGTCTTCTGTTGATAGGCTATGGCACATATGTTTCTTCCTGCCATCATCAATGACACTTAGTAAGAAATAGGAGAAATAAAAAATAATAAGCCTTCTATTCTATGTTTTTTTTTATTTTTTTGCCTTCAAAAAGTACCACGATCGATTTGCCTGCGTCTTGCTTTCTTCCGGTGAAGAAAAAAAGAAACTATGTCAACGAATGTGCACATATATATATGTATATATATATATGTTTAAAGAACGTTTAATTTATGCTTCGCAAATAGACAATATCGATCAGCTTTTTATGCGCTAAGAGCATTTATACATTTATTTAATAATAAACCTTGTGAGATGAAGTTGTTTAAGATTGATGGATGAGGGATAGATATACCGTCAACATTGGATTATATAACGAAAGTATTCGTCGTGATAAATAGGACGAGAAAGAGAAAAGGAGAGAGAGAGAAAGAGAAAGAGAAAGTGGCGACCTTTTTCTTTTTTTTTTTATCCTATATTCAAACAATAAATTATTGTTGTTTTTTTATTTTTTAGATCTCTTTCTGTACATATGTTGTTCACAATAAATAATTCTTTCAATCATTATGTACGGTGATATTGAACATGTCGGAAGCAGATCTTCTTCAACCCGATAACATTGTTCGAGATCGATGGAAAGTCGTAAGTTTAAAAATTCATTTTCTTTATTTTTTTATTTATTTATTAAATTTTAGATAAATAAAATAGGTGGTGGTGGTTTTGGTCAGATCTATGAAGCATATGATCTTGTCATTAAAGAGAATGTCGCACTTAAATTAGAATCGGCTAAACAGCCAAAACAAGTACTTAAAATGGAAGTAACAGTTTTACGTCGTTTACAAGGCAAAGATCATGTATGTAAATTTCTTGGTGGTGGAACAAATGAATTTTATAATTATGTTGTTATGACATTACAAGGAAAAAATTTAGCTGAATTACGTCGTAGTCAAACACGACAATGTTTTACTTTATCAACATCATTACGTATTAGTTTACAAATTCTTCAAGCTATTGAATATATACATTCAATTGGTTTTCTTCATCGTGATGTAAAACCATCAAATTTTTCAATGGGACGTTTACCAACAACATGTCGAAAAGTTTTTATGTTAGATTTTGGTCTTGCTAGAAAATATACTAATGCTGAAGGTGGTGTTCGAGCTGCACGACCACAAGCTGGTTTTCGTGGAACTGTACGATATGCTTCAATGAATGCACATAAAAATAAGGTTAGATAGAATAAAATTTAAATAAAAAAAAAAAAAAAGAAAAGATAATTGAAATATTATTGAATTATAATCTATTTTATATATATATTTAAGGAAATGGGTCGACATGATGATTTATGGAGTTTATTTTATATGCTTATTGAATTTATTACAGGACAATTACCATGGAGAAGAATTAAAGATAAAGAACAAGTTGGACAAATGAAAGAAAAATATGATCATAGTATTTTTTTAAAAAGTCTTCCTTCAGAATTCAAAGTAAATAATTAAATAATTTTTGTTTTTTGTTTATTATTTTGTTTTATTTTAAGCAATTTCTCGAACATATACAAAGTTTACGTTATGAAGATAAACCTGATTATGATTTATTACAAAATATATTTCGTAATTCTATAACTCGTCGTGGTTATAAAGACTCAGATTTATTCGATTGGGAAAAAGAAACAAATGGTATTCAAGATGAAACAAATGTTGTATCTACTGCACTACCATCAGCCCCTCCTCTGCAACAACAACAACAACAACAACAACAAATTTTATCTAATATCAATAATAAACTTTCTGCGTATGTGTTGATAAGAAGAAGGAAAAACAAAATATAGCGACAATCTTAATCTTTTTTTTTCTTTCTTTCTTTAGAGAAATGACAAAAGCAGTTGTAACTACTCAACCAGGTGGTGCAAGTGCAACAATCAATACTCGTCAACAAGCAACAGAAAACGATACACTTGATGATCGTTTAAAATCACCAAAACAAACAAATGTTACATCTGATCAATCAGTACGTCGTACTATTCCAAAAAGTCTTGATCGTAATACTCGACGATCAGGTACATCTGTTCAAGCGACAAGTACAAATGATAAAGATAGTTCTATTTCAAAAAAACAACAACAACAACAACAGCCACGTACTCCACTTACAACAGCTCAAATATCTGAAATATCACAACGTTTAAGACGTTCAAATCAATCAAAATCCATAGCTGGTGAACCATTAACACCAACAAGTAAATTAATTAGTAAAGAAGATTCACCAGTTAGTGCATCACATTCAGATTCCGTTAAAGCTAAAAATGCTGTACAAAATCGATCTAATCCATTAAAAGCATCTGATATACATATTCTTGATGAATCAGCTTCACCTTTAGTTATTATGTCAACATCAACCGGTGGTACTGAACATGGTAAACCACCTAAAACACCACGTTCAGGTCGTACAGCAACAATAACAACAACAAGTCGTAGTGATGCTATTGTACCAACACGAACAACAATGACACGTACAGGTGATAGTGAAGCTATGTCAATACCAGCAGGAACATTTGCAATTAAAGCTGGTCCACAAACAATTCTATCACAATGGGTTATGTCACTTGATGGAAATATTGATGAAATAAGTGATAATCAACATAGTGCTAAATGGGAAGATGCACAAGAAAAACTTCAAAGGTTAGAGTAGAAAAAAAAAAAAGAAATATTTAATTATATAAAAGCTTTTAACACAATCCCTATGGGATTAATATATGAAACAATAATGTAACTATTATTTACTAATCATAGGGAGATTATTTTTTTGTTCGATCTATTTTACGACATACTTTATCATCCTTCTACTTAATCCTTGAGCAATGTAATAAGGAAGTAGTTTATATATTATATTAAAACGTTATTGAAATATCATGCAGATAGAATTTGTTTCATCTATGAAGAGTGAAATTCAAATTTTTATATTTCATTTAGTGTAACTCATGAACCATCTCAATATCATCCAGCAGCATCTTCATTTTCTTCACCTCTTGTGAATAATCTATTAATTCCGTCCAATATGAACAGTCAATCGATAACAACAGTTAATAATATTCAAACTCCTATAGTCTATGGTAATGTTTCGAATAGTAATATAAATGATAGTCGACAACAACAGTCTCATCGATCATTATTAAAAAATATTGATGAAAATTCAACTAAAGGCATAATGAACAGTCATAATGAAAAAGAGAATAAACGTAAAATTATTTTATAAAAACAAAAAAAAAAAAAAATATTTTCTTATTTAAATTATTATTCTTTAGAAAAAGAATCAATTATTCATATTCATGAACAACCATTAATTGAAACACTTCCATTTGAAAATTATCGAACAATTGATAATACAGGAAATATTTCATTACTTCGAAATAATAATTATGTTAATATTAAACGATTATCAGATAATGATGATGATGATGAAAATGGACATGATGGTGATGTTGATGAAGATGATGATGATCATGAAAAATCAAAAAGAAAAATTCATGAACAAAAATATTTACAACAGAGTAGGCAAACAAATTTAAACAATAATGATTCTTTTTCTAGAAATATAAATTTAACAAAATCTACAAATATTTCAATGAAATCTAATCCGAATAATTCAATAATAATGATGATGATGATGATGAAAGAAAATGAAGAAAAAAAAGAAATTTTAGATGAAAAACAAATATCAAATAATGAATTTGATACGAATATTGTTTCATCAATTATTCAAACAAAACCATTAAATTCATCAATTATATCTATTGATGAACATCAACAAAATAAAATTCGTAAATATAATTTTGTTCCAGCTCGATTTCATGGTACACGTTTAATAACTAAATCAACTGAACAAATTAATCGTTCATTAATAAATGATAATAATATTTTAAATTATTCAATTCCATCAACAAAACAAAATTCAGCAATATCATTACTTAAACAAAATTTTCTTCAACGATATACACCATTAACATATATACAAAATTCAAGTAAGAAAATGTATATACAATTGATATGGTTTGCATGTAATTTATATACGACTAACTTTGCACGTAGATATATTTATTCTAATTTCTTTATTATCATCATCATCATTATTATTATTATTGTTCAAGAGAATATTTGCATGAATTAAATTTTTAGATATTTTAATAAAAAAATTTTCTTATTTTATATGATTGTTTTTTTTTTTTTTTTTTATTTATAAAAATATAGATCATAATGAAAATGAACCTAATGATACTTTACAAGATAAAAATAATATGGAATTAAAAAATGATCAACAACATTTTTCAAACGGTGCTCGTAAATCATTATCAACATTTGAAGTACATCGTGGTGATGATTTTTGTAAAAAATTATTATTTTATGAAAATAATGCTACGTCTAATAATAATAATGATAATTCATCTCGACGATCATTATTTCAACAATCATCATCTATTCCGTCCACAAATAAATCTTCAAATGATGTTTTAAATATATCAACACAACAAATATATCCAAGATCAAATCTTTCAACAAATATAAATGAACAAATACAATATAGTAAATCTTCTAAAGATTTATTAGATCCACCTATTGCTCATCCTGTTTATTATCAACAACAACCATTATCATTATATCCGTCCACATCTTATTATATAAATAATACAATACCAACTATAGTTAGTAATATGCATGATAATGGACCTATCGACTATCAACCATTATCAAGTAATAATTTTATTCCTGATGATGTATCGAGTTCATCAACAGGTCATTTACCAAAACCACCACCTGGTATACCTAGTCAAAATGCAAGGTAATTATCTAACCAGAGAACTATGTTCATGTGTTTCTTCGACTTAGAATTTATCTTTTTCTCATCAATAGATCTCAATATTAATAGTCAAAATCTAAAAGGATTAGAACTCATGAGATGTCGGAACTGATTTAAGATTATTTTATTGAAGTTTTGATTTCAAGCAAAAAATTTCTGCAAAAAAAAAATCGAAAATCTTTTGAAATAATCATAAGACGGCTTCAACAAGTCATAAGCTTGAATCGTTTTAGATTTTGCTAATTGATATTGAAGTTTTTCGTATAGACAAAGAAACAGTTCGAGTACTTTTCATGTAAGATCAGAATAAAATAAACATGAGATTTAATCTATTTGTTTAGACGTCGCCGTTATCAAGCCGATAATATAAACAATCGTCAAAAAGATCATAATCCTGAAGGTTCATCTGAACGTTCGCCAATGACTTGATGATATATTTAATTTTAAATCTCTTTTATTTTTGCTTTTTTCGAAATGACATTTGTTTTCTATTCAAAGCTATATTTGTATATATAAATATATCAAAAAAAATAGAAATGTGGCTATACTCTAGGACTGATGTGTTTGTTTTGTCTTTTCTTTTTGTTCTGTTTATATAATCGTTTCATCTTCACAATTGAATTTGTTCTTTTTTTTTTTTTTTTTTTTTTTTTTTTTTTTTTTTTTTGTGCATTAGATAAATTCAGAAAAAGAAATAATGAATATCATAATGCGCGTGTGAGAAAAAAAAAAAAAAACTATTTCAAAAAATAATTTCCTTTTAGATGTATATATCTATAGGATTTTGTTATTTACAATTAATTGGTATAACATATATTATAAGTGTTTTAATGGGTGCACCATTATTAACTGATATATTACAAACATTAATATTTAGTATTTATATTGTTTTAATTGGTTTTACACCAATTATAATTAGTTTAAAAGGAAATTTAAAAGAAATATATAATTTTATATTTCAAAATGAATTTTATTTAATTATGTTAACATCAAAAAAATTTTTTTATATGAGAAATTTACTATGGGGAACAATTATTGGTGCATGGTTAGGTGTAATACCAATTCCATTAGATTGGGATCGATGGTGGCAAAAATGGCCAATAACATGTCTTGTTTCATCAACAATAGGAGCTAGTTTATCAATAATTATTTCATATTTATGGTTATGGTTTCGAAATAGACAAAAATATAATGAAGATATTGAATAAAAAGCAAAAAAAAAAGATTTTTATAGTAACAAAAAACGATAGTAAATGTGTATTGAAATTTTGTTATTAAAATAAATATTCTGTAGTTGTCATATTTGATAAATATCATTTTTCTTGATTAAGGAAATATATATATATAGCTTATATTAATAAATAAAAATATAAATTCTTTCCTATAATTATGTTAATCATAGGTGTTCATTAGCCAATGAAAAATTAATAATAAAGTACTATGTATACATTTTTGGCATATTAAGACTTCATCAAATAATCAATGTTACAAGGTTAAAAACTAGAGAATGAATATGCTTTGATGGAAATAAAAATTGCCGTATAAATTTTTTAACATTTGTTACGACGTAATAATCATCATGATGCATTATACTTCCTATGTGAAGTATGTTATTCAATATTGAAAGTAGATATTAGCATATTCTAGCACAGAATATGATTCAACTATCTTTCCTATTAATTATACTATGTAAAAAAAAAAAGCGTCGATCATTCATTTTTTTCATCTTGTCCGTAAAATTACATTGAAACAATTACAAAAAGAAAAACTTAACGTTTACTGAGAAATTTTTTCTTTTTTCATTCTGTTTAAAAGAAAACAAGAAAAAGAGTTTTATTCGTCTTCCATTACTCATATTGACATCAAGAATGAGAGCGTCTTTTTTTTGCTTTATCGGTACGTGAGTAGGTCGAACAGTTAGTTTTTTTTTCTTTTATATGCCAACAAATAGTATATAGAAAAGAAAAAAAAGTTAAAGCGCATACGAAACGAAGTCATGGTTATGGCAGAAAGCAAGATATTATTTTGTTGATTAAGTATATAAATTTCTATTTTAGATATATTCTATTAATTTTAATTCATGGCTCAACTAACAGCAAGTCAAGAACGTGAATTACGTGATGCATTTAATCTGTTTGATAGTGGTATATTTAAAAAAAAAAAGAATCATATATAAATTAATCATTATTTGATTCTATTTTTAGATCATTCAGGTAGAATATCAAAATCCGAATTAAAACGTGTACTTCATGCATTAAATATTCAAGCCGATGATCATGAAGTACAACAATTATTATCTCAAATGGATACTGATCGTAGTGGTGAAATTGATTATAGAGAATTTAAAAATGTTATGGCTGCATCTTTTTTTAAAAAATATTCAAAACATGAATTACAAGCAGCATTTAAAAGATTTGATGCAGATAACAATGGTTATATAACAGGAAATGAACTTAGCCATATATTAACACGTATGGGAAGACATTTAACTCGTGAGGATATCGAAGCTATTGTTCGATCAGTAGATTCAAGTGGTGATGGAAAAATTTCATTTGGTGAATTTTGTAAAATATTTGATTGATGAATTTAATAATATCAATATGACATTATACCTACAATCTTAAAATGTGTTGTTTTCTTTGTGTTTAAATATTGTTTCTAGTATAGAAATTTTGATTAAAATTGTATTTCGAAAATGAATATAAAAATGTTTGATGTCAAAAGTTTAATTGTGTTGTGCCTTTTTTTTTCCTATGTGATTATATATGTCAAGAAAAGAAAAAATTTGTAAACAGAAACAATTCTCGAATAATTTATAGCATATGATATCAGTATGACAATCAAATAAGATGTCTTTGTTCTGAATATTTTATTAAAAAGAAAAATCCATGATTATGTAGTAAGGAAGTAGAATAATTGTTAAAAGGTTAACGAGACACGATCATTTATATGTGTTCCGATTTACACAGGAAGTTACTCTTGAAGATCATTCTATGATTTGTTGACAAACAAACAGTTCTTCTTCTTTGAAACAATCAAGTAAATGATTTATATGAAACAAAATAAAATGATTTTAGAATAAGAAAACATTTTTCCAGATATGATTTCTAAAATCGTATTGTATTCGATATTATCTATTTCAAGATTTTACAGTAATTCAAATCATTGATATAAGTCTTGAAATGTTTTATTCACATGAATGAATTGCAGTTTTGTTTTTTGTACGGTATGAAGTTTAGTTTTATTTGACTAATAACTTTTTTTTCTTGTCAATTTATTCGAACAATTTTGTATATAATAAGAAAAGATCAATTTTTGTTGATATGTTTATAGAATAAAACCTGTTTTGACTATAATAAAACAACAAGAAAAATGTACAACTAGTCTAATTTATAGAAGCTTTGATGTTCTCTAAAAAAATGGATTCAGATTTTACTTCTTTTTCGTTTCTTTAACCGACATTCAAATTGTCTCACAAACATTTAGATACAAACAAAACAATTTCAGTATCAACAAGATGAGAAAAATTTATTTTTTATCAGCTATATAATAAAGATAAAGTAATATAATGTATGAATTTGTATTATCATGTTATTTTACATCGAATTTATCTGTTTGATTTTGAATAAGTCTTTTCCATTATCAATTCATGTGACTATATACGATAAATTCTTCTCTTTTATCAAGACGTCGCTGTTGACATAAACTTGATATTATCGCTAACAAACAAACGCAGAACGAGAAAAAAATTGTTTTTTATTTTTTGAATTCAGTAGAATAGAAACTCAAAATAAAGTTATTTATTGGAGAATCATATTGTAGCATTGACGACAGTTAGCGTGCGGCTAACAGAAGAAGAAGGAGAACGTGTTGAATGGCAGCAGCAACTTCCGTCGTCTCAACTCAAGAACATGATAACAATCTCGAAACCTACTCTCTCATTTGGTTGGATTCTGCAGTGAAAGAGAGTAAAGACTACATTGATGCTCAACAACGACTTCGTAAATTAATCAATCATTTAAAAGCATTCGATGATATTGTTCAATGTGAATCATATATACGATCTATACCTGAAGAAGATCGGATTATTTTCATTGTTAATAATCGATTAGGACAAGAAATAGTACCTCGAATTCATTCACTCCGACAGATCTTTTCAATCTATATATACTATCCAAACAATAAACGAAATAACGATTGGACAAAAAAATTCAGCAAAGTAAGAAGCGAATATTGCTTTAGTGAAAATCAGTTTATTCTCTGCAGGAATGCTTTACTTTTTTCGTATAAACTTACACTCACTTGAAGTGTACAGGAAGGAACGTAACTATGTTCTATTACAAAAATAATATCCCTATACTGTTTTTTAGTATTAATTCATTGATTAGTAAAAAATATGTTTAGATTAAAAGTGTATGTGCGCAATTGAATGCACTTGTTGATCAAATTCTATCGGATCAAACGAAAAGAAGTCGTAACAAAGTTGATGAATTTCTTACAATTAATATTTTCAATACAACTAGTCATGAAGAAAAATCAACAACAGGACTTAATGGTCAATTTGTTCATTCTCAATTATTAATCGATCGTCTTCTTGGCATGAAACCAAAAGAAACAGATAAAAATGAATTAATTAATTTATGTAAGAAATTTTACAAAGATAATCCAAGTGAACTAGCAATTATTCATGAATTTGAAAAAGATTATTTACCTGATCGTGCTCTATGGTGGTATACAAGAGAATCATTTCTCTATCGATTATTAAACAAAGCTCTTCGAATGCAAGATATAGATTTACTTTTTCTTTTTCGATTTTTTATTCGTGATATTTATAAACAACTTGAAAAACTTCAATATTCAACTCCTATTCATGTTTATCGAGGTCAAATAATATCAAATGATGAATTACAAACATTAAAATCTTCTATTGATCAATTCATTTCGATGAATTCATTTCTTTCGACAAGTCTTGATCGTCGATTAGCTTTGTCCTTTCTCAATAGTTCAACATTGTCAGACAATTTGCAACGTATTCTATTTGAAATTGATCTTGATCCAACACTTACTGGTATCAAACCATTTGCTAATATTACATCGAACAGTTTTTTTACCGATGAACAAGAAGTATTGATCATGTTAGGATCAATATTTCGACTTGTTAAGATTGATTATCAAGATCGAGTATGGATTGTTCACATGACATTATGTAGTGATAAGGATAATAATTTAAAACCTATTTATGATTATATGAAGAATGAATATGATAAAAGTGAAGGAGAATCAAGCATATTCTCATTCGGTATTCTTCTATTTAAAATGGGACAATATGATAAAGCTCAAAAATACTATAATCATCTACTAAATGAATTACCTCGAGATCATCCAGATTTGGCTCCTTGTTATCACAATCTTGGTATGATAGCCAATAA